ACTGCAAGTTTTAATGGCCCCAGAAGGCAGCATGAGTACCAGAAGTCACCATGCACTTTCTCACCTTTGCCCTGATTGTCCCAACTGAGGGACTTTGTGTGTGTGTGTGTGTGTGTGTGTGTGTGTGTGTGTGTGTGTGTGTGTGTGTTTACCGCTTTTTTGTGAGCCGCTTTACACCTGTGACCTTTCAGAGCCCAGAGGAAAGGTTCCTTTTTGCTCTCAGATTAGGTCAGTTCTTATTAAGTGCTTTCGTGGCATTGATAGCGTAGGGGAAGCTAGTTTGAGTCACACCTTTTATGCTTATCGGTATGATTATTAGATTTGGTTTAGTTTGTGTTTACTAGACGGACGTCCCCAAGGACACAGAGCCCTGCTCTTGCTCAGTGTTATGCCCCAGTGTGTAGCCTAATCCCCGGCACAGAAAGATAGGTCTTTAATCTCCATCGAGGGAGTGGATGGGCATTATGCCCTTCATGAACAGTGAAGAAACTAGAGTCAGCCAGAACTCAACAGAACTGTGCTGGATGGTTTTATGTCATCCTGACACACACTAAACTCACCTGAGAGGGGGGAACTTCAGTTAAGAGAATGCCTCCCTAAGATCAGGCTGCAAGCAAGCCTGTAAAGCAGTTAGTAATTAGTGCTGATTGGGGGCCAACCCATGGTGGGTGGTGCCATCCCTGGGCTGGTGGTCCTGGTTGCTATTAAGACAGCAGGCTGAGCAAGCCATGAGGAGCAAGCCAGTAAGCAGCACTCCTTCATGGCTTCTGCATCAGCTCCTGCTTCCAGGTTCCTGTCCTGCTTGAGTTCCTCTCCTGACTTCCTTCAGTGATGAACAGAAATATGGAAGTGTAAGCCAAATAAACCCTTTCCTCCCAAGTTGCTTTGGTCATGGTGTTTCATCACAGCAATATTAACCCTAATTAAGATAAGAACCTCCCTATTATATAGACACAGATGTTCATTTGTTCAGAAAATATCAACTGCATATTCCAAAGGATAAGCCTATATTAAAGAATAAAATCCTGGCATATTTTATTGAGCTAATTAAGTGTTTGATTTTAGTTGCTGTGATAAACCAAAAGCAACTTGGGGAGCCAAGGATTTATTTCCACTTACAGGTAACAGTCTATCATGGGGGAAGCCAAGGACAGCATGTAGACAGCCAGAAGCACAGGAGAGCTGACAGTGAGGGCCAGTGATAGCTACAGTGTCTTCACTGGACATAGGTCAACAGCCACAAAGAGGAAAATGGTTATTAATTAGTTTTATGTGTTGCTAAAATTCTTTGTGAATAACTTTTGTAAAGTGCACTCATTAATAACATCCCTATGGAAACTGATAGCGGCCTGTCTAGGTAGGAAATGGGAAATATACTCAGATTTTCTTCTGAAGCTCCTGTCATTACTCTAGTGTTACACAGATTATGCGAGGAGTGAAATACTTGAGAGCTGTGATCCCTGCAGGCAGCTCCGGGTTTAGAGCGTCCTGGTGTAACCAGGACCTGCTGGGCAGTAGACCACATCATTTCCTTTGTTGTTGCTGTTCCTGCTTTGGATGATGTGTGTGACTTGGACAAACTAGCAAGCATCTCTGGACAGACTGTCAGGTTTATTGTTAGACATTTCCAGATCACAAGTCACAGGTACTTATTCTGTGTGTGCTGCCTTTTAGGAGCGTTGGCACCAAGAGTGAGCAGGTGGGCTCAGTTCAGAGGACCCAGAGACTGACTTATTCTGTAGTGCAACAAACGGAGACTGCTGTGCGCTGGGGATTAAACATGAAGACAGGAAGTTCCGTCTTTAGGGGGTGTGGCTGAGGCTTCCAGATTCAAAGTTACCGTTCACCACCCAGAAGGATGGTGCGTGGTTTTGAGCACCATGACACCAAGTTTCAGCCTTTGAATGCCATTGTCCACTTGGAGAATCCAAAGTTATTTTCTGAGGTCATGTCAGAAAAGACATGAGCCAGCTTCAAAGGGTCAAAGGGCAGATGGCTTAAAAATTGCAAAGCTTACATTTGAAACATTTCAGACATGTGTAATAATAAAAAGAACATTTTAGAAGTTCTCAGATAATCCTTATAGTTTCAGCATTGATGAGCTCAAGGCTAGTCACCCTGTACCAGATTATTTTCAAGGAAAAACCCAACACTGTATCTTTTAACCTGTAACTATCTTAAGATATGTGTCTTGAAGATAAGGACTTTTTAAGTCAAAATTCAAATATGGGATATTTTGAACACCAGTAATGACTGTGGTGGGTTAAAATGTACCAAGTATGTACAGGCCATGACAATATTTAAAATAACCTTTAGAGACCTCTGGGGCAGTGGCTCATCACTCTGGAAATAAAGGAGCAGATCAGCAACTTACTCTGCTTTGTTGTTGTTGTTGTTGTTGTTGTTGTTGTTTTGTTTTGGTCTACATTGTATGTTGGTATAGTGCTAAATAATAAAGTTCTTTATAAAGTGCCAACAAATAGAAAAGGAATACTCCATAAAATAATAATTACACAGCCCCTAGTGAGAAATGGACCCGGCAGTGGTTATGATAGGTGAATGGACCATCAAGTGAAAACTTGGGGAGGTACTTTGAAATGAATGGACAAGCCAGCCACACCCGAAGCCATGTCTTAGAGTTATCAGAATTGAACATCACGTGCCTACCAGTATACACTATAAGAATGCACATCACCACCATGGCTTATGCTTGCCAGAAACAAATATCAGTTAGCCAGAAATGGAATGTAAGCCTCCACATCACTGCCAGTTTCCAGGAAATGAGGTGGAATAACATGGTCTAAGGCATAGTTGGCCCAAAGTAAAGTTGGGGACAGAGAGCCCTTCAGGAGACTGGAGACATGTAGCAGGAATCTTAAAAGTTCTTATTAATAAAATCAAACCTGAGGCCAGTTAGTTATTGGGGTCAATGCTGGTAGATCAGAGAGACAGAACAAGCCACAGCTATCTCACCTGGCCAGATCCTCAGCTGGTCTTGTCTCCTCAGACTGGAGGCTTCTGTGTCCTCATCCCAATGGCTCTCAGCTGAACTGCTGCTAGAAGCCTGAATGCTTAACCAGCCAAATGCTTAACCAGCCACATGTTTAACCAGCCAAATACTTCTAGTTTCTCCTCCTCACGCCTTATATATCTTTCTGCTTTATACCACCACTCTCTGGGATTAAAGGCTTGCTTCCTGGGATTAAAGGCGTGAGTCACCATGCCTGGCTGTTTCCAATGTGGCCTTGAACTCACAGAGATCCAGAGGAATTTCTATCTCTGGAATGCTAGGATTAAAGGTGTGTGCTATTACTGCCTAACTAGTGGCTTTTCTGTTCTCTGACCCCAGATAAGTTCATTAAGGTACACGATATTTTGGGGAACACAATACCACCACCACAGAGACATGTCAACCACAACCAGAACTGACTTTTGTTAATCTGACCACAAAATAGGGACTGTGGATATGGCCTGTATGATGGAAAAGATTGGGGAATAATGGTTGACTTGTAGATGTCACAACTGTTAGGTTGTGTTAAAAAGAAATCTTCAAGCCGGAACGGTGGTTCAGCAGGTAAAAGCACTTCATGCTTTCATGGAGGATGTAGGTTCAGATCCCCAAAACTTCATGGTGGCTCACAACAGTCCATAACTCCAGGTCCCAGGGATCTGACACCCTCTTCTGACATCTGTAGGCACCAGGCATGCAGTGGTGCATATACATACAGACAAACACTCATACACATAAGATAAACTAAATCTTGAAAAACAAGTATTGGTTAAAAACACATAGCTAGGGCTGGCAAGACAGCTCAGCAGGTAAAGGCTGCCAAGCCTGGTGATCTGAGTTCGATTCTGAGAACCTACTTGGTAGAAGGACAGAACCAGCTCCCACAAGGTGTCCTCAGATTTCCACATGTTTATTGTGACATGCATGTACATACAAACAAATTAACCAATCAACATAAACATTTCATATTTTAGAACATCTAATAAATACATAATACAGTATCTTCAGGTGCAAATGTAAGCTTTACTGTGAAGATCTTGTTCTTCAGAGTGGGTGGTTCCTCAACTCAGCACTGATGTCACCTAAGTACTTGTTACAAATGCAGGACTTCGGACCCAGGCACTCCAGAAGCACTGCAGAGCCAGAGCCTACATTTGTGTGGCATTACAATCCACCTGGAGTTTTATATAAACATTTAGAACTGAAAGCACTCTCTAAATCACGTAGGAATTGTGGGGGATGTGGTATGGTAATAAAATTGACAACTCTTGGTAGTTCTTAAAATTGTGTGATAGCTGCATTGTGGATGTATGACTGATACTAAATCAGACATGCTGGCATCAGAAACTGTGACTGTCCATGTGTGTATCTATTTCCAGTTATTACTTAAGGAGCTAGAAGGGTTGAGATTTTTCGTTCTTTTAATACTACTTTACCTCTATTTCTCCTTGTTCTAGTTAATCAGGCTAATGGATGACATTCAAGAGTTTGGGAAGCATATTTCTTTTATAAGTATTTCTTATAAAATCACACTGTCCTTTTGAAATTATTAAGGAGACATATTTTAAAACAGTAACTCGATTTAATGTCAATTTTGTTCTCCAGGCACACTTGAGAAGGCCTCATAAGAGCCTCGATGGTACCCTGTATGATGATGACGATGACATTGAGCGAGCAAGCAAGTGAGTCCAGCCCTGGGTTGTCCTGTCTAGTGGTGTGCCTCCCTGGCAGGAGTTTTGGCACTACTACAATTCGGGGTTTGCTCCCTCACAATGTTCATCAACAAACCAAAATGGGGCTCCTTGCAGCGCTATGCAGAGTGGGGCCTGGAGAGGGCTGGTGAGATCGACTTGAGATGTCTTGTTCTTGGGGAGCAGAGGTATCTTAAGTGTCCAAGGAGTAGAAGTGGTGACCCAGGTGAGCACAAGTCCTCACCCCACACTGAGAGGAGCAGGTGACAGTGGTTACTGTCTTTTTGAAGGAAACTGAGCTGAGGGAGGGCCTAAGGTGAAGGTTCCATCCCAGGAGAGAAATGTGGAACTGTGTTACTTAATACAAAATAGGGAAATTATATAAGCTTCAGTTTTTAGCAATTTTAGAATAGATAGTAATAAAATGGACCTTCTTCACATGAAATAAATCTGTCATATAAGAGAGTATTTGTTTTCCTCCAAGTTATAAGAAAAGAAAAACCATTTAAAATATGAAAAGTAACCTTGGAATGTTGCAAACTTTCTTGGTGTTCAATCTAATGTTTTTAGTAAATTCCCAAATGCCCTAGAATGAGACTGATGAGAAGTCAGGCTTCACTGAGTCATGACTTTGTATTGATTTGCTCCTAATGCATGTATTTGAAATAGATACATGCATAACTGTAGAGAGTTTGTGTGGGAGTCCAGCTCCCACCTTTTGAAGGGTTCTTAGATGGAGGAGAGAGGGATAAGAAAATATCAGATAGAGAGACCTAGATGACAAGAACAAAGACAGAAACACGGGATAGCTTAGGGAGGGCCTGGATCAACACCCAACAGCCTGGAAGTTTATCCAAAATTTTTGTAATATGCTTTTTGTAGTATGCCAAGGGGAGAGGCAAAAGATCTCCCTTGCAAGATCAAAGCACACCATACAGCCAAGTGTAGACCCTTCCAAACACCTGCTAACCATGCCCGTGGTCCAGTCATCCCCTTATGCAGCCCTGCTGGGTAAAGCAAGCTCAGCTTCTCTGACCCTGAGTCAGTTCTCACTAAATAGCCTCTGTGGACTCCCACGAGGTTGGCCATGGACTAATTATAAATTTTTGTTTCTGTTCTTTGTCCCTCCCTGTCCTCAAACCTCTCCTCCCCTCCCCTCCTCCTTTTTCTTCCTTTCCTCTTTTTCTCCTCTTTTCCTTCCTCATTTTCTCCTTTCTTTTCCGTTTGTCTTTCCTTTACTTCTTCCCCTTTGTCCTCCCCCCCACCTCCCACCTCTCCCCTTTCTTTTCCTGTCTTCCTCTGTAGTCCTCCTGCCTCAGCCTGCAGAGTGCTGGGCTTGAGAGCTTGCACCCCTCCCCTTCAGATCTGTTGTTGTTCTGAATTGAAACAGTGAATGAAGTCAGACCCCGCTGTGTGGGTAAACGCTGCTGCACCTTGTGTCTCCCTCCAGGGTGTCTTCTGAAGACGGTGAAGAAACATCTGTGTATTTCTACGAAAGTGACGACTCGGTGGAAGCACCAGTGAAGGCCCCTTACTCGGGTGAGATGGACTTGCTGGGAGAGATCCTGGACACGCTGAGCACACACAGCTCCGACCAGGGCAAGCTGGCAGCTGCCAAGAGCCTGGATTTCTTCAGATCCATGGATGACATTGATTACAAACCTACGGTCAGTTGAGTTTAACTTACAGAGTTCTATGAAAACATTTGCCCTTTCGCCTGACCTTAGTTTATAGAAGCATTTAACCTCTCGGTAGGAAGGTACACAAATTTCAAACTATTTTGAAAGGTAAAAATTTCATCCTTATGAATTGCTTCTGCTACTAAAATTGCCCCAGTGTTCACTGCCCCTATTCACCGACTGTTGTAGTGGGTGGGTGCTGCTAGCCGGAGCCCTCTTCCAGCCATATTCCCTTCTCTGTGCTCATCCTTGTGAAGACTTTTTATGTGAAATATCCCTACTTTAAAAAAAAATCCCAGAGACTTGAAGAAAAACTGTAATGAATATGTCTGTTAAAATCTTTGTTTTTTCTATTTTCTTGCCTCAAAAGTGAACAGTTTTAAATGTAATGAGTTAAGTGCTTTTAAAAGCTGTGAGGTAGAAGTACATGAGAGGACCCCCTTCTGACTGCAGAGAACCTAAAGGTTTGTGTTAATTGTGTGTACAGCTTGAATGTGACAGGTGACAGTTTAAACACATAGAAACCAGAGTTTCTCATGTCCTTACCCACTCGCCTCCATGCCTGCTCATGGAACTGGCAAGAATTGTCAGATTTCAACCAGTGTGCCCCCTCTGCCCAGTGCTCACCTTTCTGGCTGAAACATAGGAGAAATCAAGTTACTGGAAAACCACTGTAATTTATAAACAGTTGTTTATTTCCTTTATTTCTGAAGTTGTTATTTCCCTTTGCAGAACAAGTCCAACACTCCCAGTGAGAATAACCTGGCCCTACTATGTGCTTCTGGTGATCAAGGAGAATGGAATCTTGGGCAGGACGACAGTGCCCTCCATGGCAAGCATCTCCCTCCATCCCCCAGGAAAAGAGTTTCCTCTAGTGGGTTGACAGACTCTCTGTTTATCCTGAAAGAGGAGAACAGTGAAAAGCCCCCCTGTGCTGACAGGATGAGTGGCCCCACTGTGGGGGACAAGCCAGTTTCTACTTCAGGATTGGGTTTCCGGCCAGCTTCCCCCAAGGCTGCATCTCAGATAGGTGAAAGAGAAGCAGAGCTGGAGGAGACACGAAGCCAGGCTTCAGAGCATCTGCTGGTACCCAGCCTCGGCAGCCGCCAGTCTACTTTCGTTCCCTGGGAGAAGGCAGGGAAAGAGCATAAGGAGCCTTCAGAAGATGGTGGACTGCTCCAAGAAGTAGTGTCGTTGTGCCACATGTCATGTGACTTCCAACAAGGTCCCAACATTTCAGAAGAAAAGAGGAGTGCAAACCAAACTTAAGCTACCAGTCAAGGGTCAGTCACTTGCCTCTTGGCTTCTCCAGAGACATGTGGAATTAATTCCCTGTGATGCATACAGTAAACAGAATCACTCATAGGAATGAAAACTCTTACTACTGTTTAAGTGTTTTCTTTGGAATGTCTCCCCATCTGTTCATCTCATGGACCTGTGTTATCCATTGGTTTTCTGGCATAAAATGAATTCTACTGTGCTGTTAAATCAGGTACTAATTTGTATATAGGCTGAAAGTGTGTTTGGAACATAAGCTTTCCCAGTATTTGGTGCTTAATGCCGTTTATTTTATTTAAACTAAGTGAGCATATGTAACTCCTACATATAACCAGTAGTTACTGTACTAATCTGGTCGAGCATGAACTGATGTCAAACCTGATGAAAAAAAAAAAAAGAAATAGCCTGAAACTGATGAAACAGTTAACCCACTAATTGCCTTAATCTTCCAGTTATGTTAAGCATACAGATCATGTGTGATGCTACATGCAAAACTTGAAAGAGGAGTTATCTTGTCTTTCAGAGCAATAATGCCTTTTTCTATCACAGAATTAAGCTCATCATTTTTTCAAGTTTAAATGCTCTGTAGTGGAACTAATTTGCTTTCATAAAGACACTGCAGCCATGTTTTCCAAACAGTATAAGTGTGCATATTGACCTTTCACTCAGTGAAATCCATGAAGTGCTGAAATACAATGTGAAGTTAAAAGCTTCTGTTTACAAAGAAGCCACTCAGACAATGTTTGGTCTCTGTACGCCATGGTGACTGGGGTCCACCTCGAGAAAGCCAGATGCCCTGCAGAGTCCAGAGAAGCAACTGTCCTGTTCTTCTCGTAACTGATTCGCCATGAAGATGCTCGTAGCCTTACCTTGTGTTTGCTTTTTTAAAATAATTGACTTTGTGTTGTAAATGGTCTAGATTTATAGAAAAATGTGAAGATGGTACTAAGTTCCCATCTCCCTGGGCCCTGTTTCTGCTGTTGCTAGTGTCTTCGGTTAGTGTGCTGCATTTGCCAGTGTTGATATTGGACATGGTGTTCAGAGCTCGGGCTTGTCCCTCAAGTCCCCTTTCTGCCCCGTTGTCCCCTCAGAGTCCTAGATTACATTCTGTTATCCTGTCTGCTGGGTTCCTCTGCCCCTTGGCACTTCACTTTCTTGGTTTTGATGACCGTGGAAGTTTCAGGAATATTGGCCAGATGTATTGCCCCCTGGCCAGCTCTTGGAATTTGTCTGCTATTTTTCTCATTGTTACGCTGGGATTGTACATTTGAAGGAGAAGATCGTAGAAGTAAAGTGCCATTTTCACAGTGTCTTAAAGTGTGTGTGGGGGGCAAGCACATTCCACATAGTGTTGACTTTGGACACCTGCTGGGTTTCTCCACTGTAAGCTTGTTCCCTCACACCTTCTGTTCTGGTGCAGGCAGGCAGGAGGAAGGGAGGGAGGGAAGGAAGGGAAGAAGGAAGGGTAGGCACATGAGAATTATTTAGGGCAGAGGAGTATCAGAATAAATCCTTTGTAATTCCTTATAGAACCTGCCTCCCTCACAGTTACTGTTCAGCTTTGGAGCACATCTGAAAACATATGCAGATCACTCATGGCAGACTGGTGGTGTGGGGTAGTTTATTTGTTCCCTCCTGGCCTCTATTTTATACAACATGGTGACTGCTTTTCAAAAACTGTCTTTTTTAGAAAGAAAAAAAATGGTTTCAAGACCACTTAACCTCAACAAGGCCATACTCTAAAGTGTTTACTTAGAGAATATAATTTCACCTAAAATTTTAGGAGATTTGTTTAACATAGTGCTTAAAATATTTATGCAGGTCATTTGTTTTAAGACTGCATTCCAAAATAGAAATAGATAGTTTTACTTGAGGTAACTATTCACTCATTTATAGTGGAAGATGGAACTTGTCCTTATGAGGATGGGCTCTTCATAGAAAGGTATGTATAATCCTCAGTTTTTTTATACAATAATATGATTCAAGGTTGTCAGATTTTGCTTGTATATATCCTTCATTAATCCCAGTTAATGAAATAATCGAGGAAAGCCGCATATCAGAAGAGCTGTTCTTAGTAGGAAGAGGAGAAGTTAGCATGGTGATTCTGCTCCTGGGCAGTCATTCCTACGTAATTCCTTAACAGAACGCAGCGCCTTCAATATGAGTTTTGAAGTGAGATCACTTTTTTCACTTCAGAATTTATTGTCTAAAGAGTGACAGCATCCTGAGTGAAGCATAGAGCACTGGCTTCCAGTCCATGTCCTTGTTAAACCCGAGGCCACAGATTCCTAATTCTCTACCACGAGTCACCTTGTGAGATGCTCCATTGTAACACTAGGCTACCTGAAAACATTTAGCCACTCACAAATACTGTCTCAAGACACTTTAAAGTGATCTGTGCCTTACTGTAACAAGCAAAACAATGACTTTATGTAAGAAAGAAAAACCAAAATTGTACGCATTTTTGTGAGAACTGTCCAGAAACCTGGAAGCAAGTGTTGGTGCTTCACACCATTAAAACCTTGAGTCAGCTTGTAAACACAGCTTCCCAGTGTTGTGGTGGATACATTAAGAAGTAAGGGACAATAGACTGAGTTCTGAAATTTTTAAAAATGTGGTATTTTTTGCTTTACCCAAAACAAAACCAAACATTTCTAAGTTCTCTGCTGTTCAAAGTCAATTTTTCTGCTTGCTCTGTCTTTTTAACTACTGAGCACCAACTGGAGCTCCCAAATACACTTTTCAAAGAAGCTGCTTCCTTCTACATGAGACTTGATTAACACATTGCTCTGGCCTCAGCATCTGTGTTTCCTGTGCCTCTCAGCCAAGCCACGACTTGTCTTGAGTTTCACTTAAGCTTTGCACCCTTGGCAGTTCAGGGGACTAAAGATAGAAGGATGAATTTGGGAGCTGCAATTTCGTTAAAGTAAAGATGTTCCTAAGTGGCGTATGTTGGTGATTACCTAATGCAGCCTGTCTTATACATCAGATTATGGCGTAATTATTTTTCCAATTCAAAATTAATAACTCCTTCAATGTACCAGTTAGGAAAATGGTCTAATATTATCTAAAGATATAAGGGTATGGGGGAAAACAATTACCCAGCCTTGGGGAATCAATTAAAAGGGAAAGGAACTGCAGATGTTAATAATAATAATAATAATAATAATAATAATAATAATAATAATAATAATAATAGAGTTAGATTGTACTTGCTTAGATGGTATTAGCTCAAGAGCCAACAGCAAGGCTGCTTTTAGGAACTGCTATGTTATTTAAAGTATGTTCTGAGTACAGAATCATTAACTTTTCTGGTAATTATGTGAGTTACTATTATGCTGCTAAGATCTCACTTTTAAAGGACAGATTTGGAGACACTGCAAGGCTGAGTCCTTGCATTGACCATCCACAGGACGTGATGTCCTTTTGCAGTATGGATATCCACTTTCCTAGTTCAGGAATAACTTAGGGTATTATAGACTGGGGTGCAGTCATGTTGATGGAAGTCTTAATTTTCACATTAAAACTTGGTAACAGCATTTTCACGAAACAGCCCTGTTCTTTTTAGTTGAAGCCATGAGTGACAGTGTTGTTGTTGGTATCCTACACTGATATCTAATGGTGTGACCCAGGAATGCTTGTTTGTTAAGCAAAGTGAAGACTTTTGGTCAGCAGCAGATGACCATGAACATCTTAAAATCAGCAGTCGTTCATTCTCCACTCAGATTTCCAGGACAAATTCATCACTTTCATGAGTAAATTTTCTCATGAGAACTCCACAGTTTGGTGTCAGGGATTCATGGATCTGAGACGATATTTGAAAATCAGAATAGAAATTCAGGAATGTAAAATGAACACCTAAATGTAGTCTCTCTTCAGGCATCTTGTAGTGTAGGTAGTCCATTGTAAAAACCCCGTTCTCTCTGAGCATTTCCCCGTCCAGCCCAGGGTCCTATCACTGTCTGTTTCTTAAAGCTTCAAGGACTAGAAAGGCTTTGCAGCAGCCAGTTGATGTTATGATTTAATTAAGAAATAGGGAATTATGTATATTGAGACAGAAACATTTTATTTTGAAATATATGATTTTGTGCAATATTTTTCTTGCAGAATTTAGTTCATATAAATATGCACATCTGCTTTTCTGGCAGATGCCTTAAGGTCATGTCTTTCAGTATTTGCCTAAACTGTATGTAGCAATGTTCTATGTGATTTCAGAAAAAAAAATTACTCTTTCTATTGTTAGCAAAGTGTTTTTGTTTATTTAAAATAATTGTGGAGATTGCATTATTGTATCATAACTTCCTCAGCCACAATAAATATGCAATAAGAAAATCATGTACCTTTGATTAGTATTGACAATACTGTTACTTTCACAGAAACGTTGTGGTACAAGTGCTGATTCTGCGTGTGTACAGTTAACAGCTACTCTGCTTTGCACCACGTGAATCTGAACGGTCTATTTATGTGATAACCATGTATGTAGATTCTGACATCCTTTTTGATGGGTCTTTGTTGAGGCTTATAAAGGGCATTGCCAATACTTTTTGACTGTAAATTAATTTTTTTGTATGATGTACAGTTTGGTTAGCCTGAGAGCTTCTATAGATTTCTACTTTTATTATACTTGAATGAGGCAGAAAGCACTGTGGGAAATTTGCAACTCTGGATGCAATATGCAGATATACCAAAAATAAAACAAGGTACTGAGCAGCAATGCTAATGGAATGCTTTATGATCCAGGGGTCAGTGTTTTTCAAGACACATTTTAGTTAAATGAAGTAATTGAAGGTGTGCAGTCTTTTATCTAGATGGTATAGTCACAAATGATTACCTCTTTGATGTGTCAAAGCTGTAAGTCTTTTTTAACTTCTGTTTCAGTCCTTAGATGAGGACCACCCATGGTCCCACCTCTGACCACATGATGTTTAGGAAAGAGTAAATCAACTACATTGTACACATTGGGTGCGTTACCTGTGTTAAATCACCATGTTTTAGATAGAGTAGCTTTCATAGGTAATATTCAGAACTCTTTAATAATCATATACCAAAAATTAAAAACTTAAAATCAGTTACAACTTAATTGTGCCTAAAATAACAACAATTACATGAACAGAATTGAATGTTTCCAAAGTTTGTGTCCATTGTTTTAGCTGAAGAGTTGCTGGCTCACCATGTAACCAGTATTTTAAAAAAGGAAAACAACAACAACAACAAAAAACCCCACTGAGCATTGAGGTGTGCTTCGTTGTTCTTTTGCCCTTGAGGCTACAGTATGTCATCTCTAAACTTGACTACTATTGGGAAGATGCTCTGTATAAAAGTATTGCTTTGTGAATTTTTTTAAATATGCAAAATTAAATGTTGAATGAACTCTGCATTGCCATACAGTACCCAACAATGTAGTTGAAAATAAAATTGGTCGCAATCGAACATTGTGTGGCAGTGATGACTCTTCTGACTTGCTAGTTGTCCTCTATTCTGTTACAGGAGAACAGGCTCTGAGGACCCACTGGTCTCCATCTTCAATCCTTAACTGCTGCAGTGTAAACGAGAGCCTCGTTCATTCTGATGGTCGTGTGCGAGTGGTACCTGTTCTGTTATGAACTGTTTATTAGCCTTCTTGTTGCTGTTGCAAAGTGGCTGACATAATGACTTGAAAGGATGAAATGACAGGTTTACTTTAGCTCATGGGTTCAGGGATTTCAGTCTGTAGTCCTCTGCTATGTTGAATCTTGATCTGTGATAAGGCAGAGTGTCATAAAGGTGGGAGCAAAAGGTGGGGGCTCTTCACCCCAGGCCAAAGAGCACAGCATAGTAGTGGCAGAAAAGGACCAATGCAAAATATAACCCCAAGATGCACCCCAGTGACCTGTTTCCTTCCCAAACTCTCCACTTTGCTGCTTCTGTCTCCCAATAATCTATTCAAAATTTGAATTCAAGGGATTAAATCAGAGTTGTTATGACAGGTCTGTTGTTTGTGTTATGTTTATAGAAATGCTCTCACAGGCACACCTTAGATGCCTTGCAGAGCTGGGCATTTCTCACCAGGTTAGCAATCAGGAAGACCCTCGCAGGCTTTAAAGCCTCCCAAGCCACCAGGTCCTCAGAAGGGCACCTAAATTTTGTTGATCTAGGACAGAGGTGAAATAGAAATGTTTATGAGCAGAGTTCCAGGAACAGGAAGATGAATGTCTCATCTGAGAGCTGTGATGGGTCTACCAACAGGGCAGAGGTGAAATTTGTGTGAATGTAAGCACGTTTCCCTTTGAGCTCAGAATTTCCAGGAACCATATGTAGAACTTCTCTTGTTTCAACATAGAAAGGAAAATTCTGAGAGGGAAAGGACTTTGCTTGCAACCCTGAAGTTCTTCCAGCTGCTGGTGACTTTGTTGTTTTCCCTGGCTATCTTGGCAAGTTAAGTCTCAGTGCTTAATGGTGTCTTTATATGGTCATACAGTCTATAGGTCTTCATTGTCATTGCATATAAATGAAAGTGTGGTGATATATTGTGCACCCCAATAAAACTTATCTGGGGATCAGAGGACAGAGCCAGCCACTAGATTAGACATAGAGGCTGGACAGTGATAGCACATACCCTAAATCCTATCACTCAAGAGACAGATCTGTCTGTCAAGGCCACACTGGGAACAGAGCCAAGCATGGTGGCGCACACCTTTAATCCCAACACTTGAGATCTCATGCCTTTGCTTGGGAAGCACACATGCCTTTAATCCCAGGAAGTAAGATAGTGGAATAGAAAAAGGTATATAAGGTATGAGGAAACAGGGACTCACTGTCTTGAGGCTGAGGATTTCGTAGAGGTAAGAACATGACTGGCTTGTTCTGTTTCTCTGATCTTTCAGCTTTCACCCCAATATCTGGCTCCAGGTTTGTTTGTTTTTTAAATTAATAAGACCTTTTAAGATTCATGTTACATGAAAGCACACTCAAAGACCAGTGATAACATGAACTACAGAACATTAAATGTATGTGCATGGAGAATGAGGCATTGGTAGCATAAGAACAGTATAGTATAACATGCAAGGCAAATAAGAACCTCTCAGTTTTGCCATTGATTTGGGCCTATTCGTCCTGAAGCTTTATTTCTCTAATACAGAAGTGTCTGTTCTTAGAATTATTTAATATCTACTAGAAACTTCTATGTATATAGGTACTCATATGTGATTTGGGGGATTAAAACTATTTCTGAGTATCCATTTAGGTTCAAATTTCTGGTCATTTGGAATATTCAAGTATAAAACATAACTATAAAGTCATAGATTTTATCCAATTCAGTGGTTTCCAAGCCTTTTCCAATAGTATTACGAGGAGACCTTAAAATAAAGGACATATGGCTCTACAATTTCTGGAGTGAATGCTATAGGTGGCACCCTGTAGAGATGAAGTAATATACCAAAAACATTCTTGTAGTGCTACCGCACTAAGTAACCAAGCTGGTGTGTGAACCCCATTGTATGGTTTCAGCCCTGTTATGGTCAGTGCTGTCAAATTGCAAAATAGGGACTCTCAGGATAAGATTCTTCGGGCACGTCTGGGGGGGTGGTGTTATCATGATTATAGGTAAGAAGCCCTTCCCCCCACACACACACTGTTGAGGGATGGGCACCACTCCTTAGAAGATCTTGGGCTGCATGCGAGTCAAGAAAGCCAGCTGAGCCTTCAGTGCTTCTTTTTTTTCTTCTGACTCTGGACATAATGTGACCAGATCCCTTATGTTCCTGCTGCCAAGACTTCCCTGCCATGATGGACAGTCACCTGGAGCTGTGAGCTGTGAGCTAAACAACCCTTTCTCCTTGATGTTGCTTTTGTTGGGCTATTTTATCCCAGCCACAGGAAACAAAAGGCAAGCCCCAAGGCTATCACATTGCAGTGTTGGACAGAATACAAAGATCCTGTTTCAGGGACCTTCCTGTCTCAGCACTCCCTGTAAGCATTGTGGACAACCCTCTCACAACAGAAGCTATGCACATTTTTAAAAATGAGTATTGAGTTCCTTGATAGTTTTTTGGAGACTGTATTGTTTGGCTTTCTAATGTTTTTCTTTTTCTCACACTTCCCAGCTGAGTGACTAATTCTACCTTAATCTGGTGGTGGTGGTGGTGGTGGTGGTGGTGGTGGTGGTGGTGGTGGTGGTGGTGGTGTGTGTGATCTTTCAAGCCTTCCATAAATGGTTGATTTTATTTGCATGTGTTGAAGAATAGAATAGGGGAGCCCTTCCTAGAATATGTAGGATACCTGCTGGGACAGGTTTGCTGACATCATTTTGAAGAAGAACAAAAGTATAATTTGTGAGTTGTATAATGCAGGGCTAGTTACTGACGTGTAAGCTGTCGAGAACCTCTGAGCATTCTTTCAGAATACCCACAGATGTTATCTATCACATGTAACTTTTTTATGTTCAAGCAACAGCTTGCAAGGCAAGCCCCTATTTTTCTGTTTTGTTATTTTATAATCATATCTCCTTTAACTATGTAGAGTGTTTCTTATTTATGGTAGTGTGACATATCACCATTTAAACATTGTGATTTTCAGTTATATTTAATAACTGGTTTTGAATTTAAGGACTTTTGAAATATTTGAAATGTTAACATTTGAAATATTTAAATACACCAATAGTATTCACTTCACGTCTCAGCACATCCACCCAAATCTAGTACTTAAAATATATTTAAATAAAAGACAAGTTAAGCTTTCTGAGACTTCATAAATATCCAAATTGTATGCAACCATTAGGCAGTTCCCAGCACTGGAAACAGATGTTCAAGCTGTTCTTTCTCTGCAAGCTTCCATTAGAAAGTCACATGAAGTTCTGAGCCATGACAACTGACACTTAAATTGTTGTGTTTTAAAAAATATTACTCAAAAATATTCAGAAGCTATTTTTTAAAGAAAAAACTATTGTTAAAAAAGAACAAAAAAAAAGATTGATATATGTACTACAAAGACTCTAAAGTGAATATTTTGGCATATAACATGAACCAGGACTCTGGATGTTGTGATTAGAAGTTTTCTGAAGGATTTAAGTTTGTCCAGGACTACGGATTTGTTTTCACCCTCCTTTAGTTTTTTATGAATGCCACATAAATTGATTCTTTCACTTGGTGGTATAGTGATATTATCAAAAAAAATTTTTTTTTTTTATCTTTTTTGAGACAGGTTCTCAAACTTGTGAGCCTCCTGCCTCAGCCCCTAGAATGGTGGGCATATAGGTATGCCTCAGTACCCCAGGCTCACTCTAGTTTTAGCATCCCTGCTAGGTGTTCAGTAGATTCTGGTTTTTATTTTGTGCTGTGGTTGCACCAGTGTATCTTGCAGGCAGATCACTGTTTAAGGAAGTAGGGTTTGTACCTGGGTGAGAGTGACTACTTTGCTCCTCTGGCAGTGTGCAGAGTACCCTCTATAGCAGTGATTCTCAACCTTCCTAGTGTTGCGACTCTTTAATAACAGTTCCTCATGTTGTGGTGACCCCCAACCATAAAATTATTTTCACTGATACTTCATAATTATAATTTTGCTACTGTTATGAATCATAACGTAAATATCTGATATACAGGATGTCTGATAAGTGACTTGTGGAAGGATCATTCAACCTCCAATGAGTCACGACCCACAGGTTGAGAACCTCTGTTCTACAGGCTTGACAGAAAATGCTTTTATTTGCTGAGCTTATATTTTTGGTTGTGAGCCTAGCCTTTAATGGCTGAGCTATCCCTCCAGCCAATGATCTAATGCTCTTCTCTTATTTTTGATACTGGGAATTTGACTTCTTTTTCTGATTCCTTGGTCAATCAGTGTGGCTAGGGTTTCTCAATGCTTTTATCTTCTAGTTGGAGACCAGTTTGATTTCTCCATGTTCCATGACTTAAGGAAGTGGTATCTTCAGCAATAGGGCCTTACCATCAGGTTGTGGTGAGTAACCAATGGCCTTGGAAATAGCCTGTGATTTTTGAAAGGATCTATGAGACCCCCTTGGCCAATGACTGAACAAGTAACCCATTCTTGGCACTGGAGGTTTTATTTGGTGGCATAAGATGTCTAGTTTGGGCGTTGTCTCTCCTATTACTTGGTGACGCTGTTTAAATTCCTTTTGTGTATGTATATTTTAGAAAGCTTCTACAGTAGTGGGTTTTCATATGGCTCTTCACAGTTTTACTCCTCCTTGCCCGTATTCTCTCCTCTATCCTACCCCCAACTCTCCATCTAATCCTCCTACTCTAGTTTCCCTTTTATCTCTATAACACTATACTCTTACTTTCCCTTCATTGGAAGATCCTGCCTTTCCCCCTGGTTTCTCACTAGGTACCTAACCTCTATAGTTATTCTGATTGAAGCCCACAAATTAAAAATTTAAAGGTTAACATGTTTTCTCTTATATGTAGATATTTAGCCTTTTATTTTAAAAATGAAGT